AATATTCGCACGGAATATTCACACAGATATTTGCACGGATATTCATATAGATTATTCGCACAGAATATTCTTAAATAATTCTCGATTATTCACGGATTTTGTGAATATTCACGGGTCCAAGCTCTACATTACATGATATTGATCGTTCGTAAACGTTTACCTTCGTTAAATTAGACACTACATCAAATTAGCAACATCTTTTTAGATGAGTGATATCTCGTGATTTAGTAATAAGAATTGGTACCATTCGTTTCGACGAATCGAATGGTACTAAAATCATCCAGTTCTGATGATATATCATGTGTATTTATCGAAAATGTTATCTGTGTCGTACCTTATATTAATGGTAATTGTCTCAATTGATTCTATGACCAATCAAACAAGGTTTAAATTAGTGTAAAATAGACAATATCGATATAATTGTAAGTTTGGATGAAATAATAGTTTGTACGTACTAGTTTACTATTATTTAGTATATAATGAATTTTAGATTATGCAGATATGTTGACCCGATACATAAAACGTTCTCAAAAAAAGTACTATAAAGTGTATAAATTAGTTACCCAGGCTCTGGCAATTGATTCTAATCGACCAATCGTCAATGCTGAAATGACAAAATACAAACATTGCTGATCATGTAACCAATTCAGGTATACAAAGTTTAAGGGTATATCTATAAAAATAGTACTGCCAAGACTTTTGGATGCCATTTTTTTTTATTCGAGTGATACTGAATCTATTAAAATATTTGAGTAATGGAGCAGCACGCGAAATCTAAATCATTTTCTAACGGTGATATCAAAACAGATATCAAAACAGATGTCAAAACAGAAATATCATCGCCACATAATGGTAATAAAATAACGACAGTTATCTGTTCGCCTAAACTTAAATATATTGCGACATCGAGTTCGATCAAGGAAAAGCGAGATTTTATGATTGCAGTATGGCCAGTTATTGGTGAAAAAAATACATTGCATCCAGAGTCGAGCGCCACTTTTCGACAATTTATTAATGATGATGGTGCTGTAAATCACAAATTGCGATCTGTCTCCGATAATCGTTTAGTTGTCGTAGAATATACTAGTCATAATGAACCTAGTATACGTGTTTTTGGTAAGTGAACACTACAGTCAGATATCTCATAAGCACATTATGCTTGAAATAAGTTACTTTCAAATCTATTTAAATCAATTCTCTAAAGTCTCGATTTCATTCCAACTTTTATTCGTTTTATTTTTCAGTTATTTTCGATCTTGTCCAGGGCTGTCATATCAAGGTTCCGGGGATTCCTATGCAATCTCATTATCATTTATTTGAATGCGCTTTTCTTGACAATGGGGATTTGGTGGTCATTAATGATACAGACGTCTTAGTGTATACTGTTAACTTTTTTAGAGGTCAAAGTTTATTAATATGTAAAGCAGCTTATGGGTTTACCCACCGTTATACTAAATGCTTAATCGCTAAATTTGGAATATTAATACCTGCTTGTTATAAATACGAATATAAAGAAGATGAGATTAGAACTCAATGGAACATCGAAACTGGATCTTTTGCGGCTCAGATGCCTATGGATTTTAGGAGCGTAGAAGATTCTGATGGCCGTGATGTTCTTGTACGAAATAACGATAATACTTTATTTGCATCATATACGTGTGTAGGAAAGCCTCTAAAGCGAATCCTTAATGTTTATGCTGCCGAAACCGGCGTAAAACTTTTTTCATGTAAGAATTATAAATCTTTCACCCTATTACATCTATTAATATCTAATCAAATTTTTATTATTTATAATAGATACTCTTAAAGATAATCAATATGGCATTGATTTCGTGCGTAGTGGTACACATTTATTGGTTCCATCATTCACTAAGTATACAAAAATCGATGATCCACCGGTTATCGATCTTTTAACATTTATAGATCCATTCTCGTCTAACAGTCCTGTAAATGTTTCTTTAAAGAAATCTGTTGATGAATTTAAAGTTCCATTAGAATTTACTCCTCGATTGATAAATAAAAATAAGGCTATTGGAATAGTAGATGGACTTGTACATGTTCGTGATATTATTCAGGAAAATCATTCACAAAAGGATGCTCATGATTATAATAAGATTTATTGGCAAAATTTTATGGAAGAAATAGCTGATAATCTTAAAAGTTACTTGGGATCTAATAGTTCAATTACTTTAAACTATAACAAAGTTTATTCTGGAAATAATATTACCTGGTCAATTTTTGACACGCAAAATGGTGAAGAGCTCACTGCATTCATTCTCAATAAGATTACTTATTATTGGGAGCCAGTCAATATAAGACGCGGCTTTTATTTCAATAGAATTGATGACAGATTAGCTGGTGGGATCCAAGATTGCAGGATACTATCTAATGATGATTTGATGGTTGTTAATAGAAGTTTTATATTGATATTTACTCTTGACAACGAACATAAAATACAAATAAGTTATTGGTGGAATAGGCATAGTTTGATTTCTGGTGATGTAAAACTGGATTACTTAATTTCAGTTCGGTATTTTGAAGATATTTTGAAATATTACGAAGTTGAAATGGAAAATGTTAAAACAAACGAGATATCTTATCCTCTTCATGAGCTAATCGAAAATAAGATCACAGATCTGTTATTTTTTACGTTACATGCTCCAAAAATATTAAAAGCAGCAATCAAATTCCATAGGGGTGATGTCGTTGAACTCGTTTGTGATCAATGTATGGAATTTTTCAAGGTCAATCAAAAAAATCTCGCAATCCTTTCAATATTATCAAGTGTTTTATTCAAGCTTGCAAAGTATTATCCCGGAAGTGCTAGTAAATTTCTAGCTCAAACTACTTTAGTAATGAAACCTATGGATCATTTACATATTCATTCCACATCTTATCCACATCTTTATACATATACCCTAGAACATCATATGTTTGAACTCGATAGATTTTCTAAATTTTATTTGAAAATCTATAGATTATATAATAAGTTCAAACTAGATTTACAAACTTCTGACTTGTGGAATAATAGTATTGAATTTCTTGGTTATAATAGAAAATTTAAAAGACCCACTCTTGATTTATTTATACCTTTGTCAAAATTTGCTTCCTATCCCGTTGAATATAATTTTTGGATGGAGCTCTTAGGTAGACCACAAGCAAATGGCTTTGTGAAAATGCAAACAACAGAATTATATTCTGATTGGAATGGAGAGGCCTTACTTAATTTTAAATGGAATACTTTTGGGAAATATTATTACTTCTTTAACTGGTTTGTCTATACAATGTTTCTTGGGACTTTTGCCTTCGCAGCTACGGATCCAAAAGATTTCATCTCAGAACATAATCAAAGAATTCTCCTATGGCTCTCAATTTTCTTGGGATTTTATCACCTGTCATTTGAAATACGGCAATTTATTTTTAATTGGAAAGATTATATATTGAGCGCTTGGAATTTTTTCGGTATGCAGATTTCAATAATTTCAATAATCCCAGATCATTATATCAAGATCACGAGAGATTAACTAGTAATACTCCGAGCCGTATGTGTACAAGCGGGAACGAAGTTCTCGTTAATATCCAACGACTCAGGATATTATTATCATTATTAATCATTAGTTTGACACCAGTTCATAACACTTAACTTCATGTCATAGATCTAGGTGCATATATTTTTCCGGTTGCTACTTCCATATACTGGCTAAATCATGGCACTCCGCCGCTATGGGCACCAGCGATTTCCAATCTATTTCTTGACCTAAAATTTTTATTTTTCTTACGACCTTTTGAATCTTTTGGCGTCTACTTTGCCATGATTACTGGTGTTGCACGAAAAGTATTCTCCTTTTTAATAATTCTGGGTTTGATCCTTTTAGGATATACTCATGCTTTATATACATTATTGCAACCGATTGAAGAATTTGATGAATCTAAGCCAATACTTAATGACGATAAAAATAATCCTTGGAATCTTGTTTCAACGTTCTATCGTATTAATTCTCAAGGCAATGTTATTCCGAAATCTGCATTTATCGAGCCACCAAACAAGAATACAAATATGTATGCCAATTTTGGTACTGCATTGATAGCAGTATATCAATTAATGACGGGTACGTCATTCATCTATTTACTCTATAAAGAAATATGTTGATAAGTAATAATTATACAAATAGGTGATACTGGATCTCTTTCAAGCTGGGAGTATAGTGAAAATTTTCCTTTGGTTTTCTTGATGATCACATTTTCTTTCTTCACCGTCATCTATCT